TATTTACTATTAACTTATTTCAAGTGACTTAACATGATCTGACTTTCATCCTCTCAAGAAAGACTTGAACACAGCGTCAGTAACCTAATCTCACACACATTGAGACCCTGTTCATCTGTTTCCTTTTTGAGTACTTACAGATGGTACAGCAATGTTTCCTTGTAGAATGTTATCAATGGTGACTTCCAGTGAATGAGTGTGTCTGAGATCATCCATGATGATGTCCAATGGCATGTGTGGAAACATGGCTTGTACTTGATGTGCCTACCAGTCAAAAATTACAGGAATGTACTCACAGGGAGAAACATGACTTTAAAAATGGAAAACAAGAAGTGACGTAATAACTCTAAAAAACTTCTTAAACTGGCACTTCCCTTCAATGGACACCCTCAGGACCAGAAAAAGTGTCTGCTTAAGAGAGGTATGGGAGGTTAAAAATGCTGCATTAGTATGAGGCTAATACCATCCGTGAGTGGAGGTTCAACTGTATTAGCAAGTTGGGAAGCAAAACATGTACATGTAGAGAGTAACAACAAAAGCCCAGCATAGCAATGCTCATATCTGTTAACAGTCCAGCCTCGCAATAAAATTACTTGGACTCGGAACAAAAATAGTGAGAGAGTATACACTAGTGTTTTCAACAAAATACATGTACCTGTCAACAATCTGTGACCACTGGATTTTTCTGTTGGGCTTGCAGGTTTTAACCATCCATCACCCAATGAAATTTTTTGGAGTTTTTAGTTGGCAGGTGAGGCAACGCCACAAAATAAAAAGATTCCTTAGGGCTACAGTAACTAGTAAATAATGACTCCAGTTAGTCTGATGGAACAACCTGGAAAATTAATTTTCTTTACACTCTGCTTTATATTCTATATAGTTTTGAAAAGATGAAAGATTAAAGACACTATGAGAGAAGAACTTTTGCTTTCCAAAAATTACTGTGAAACAAGCCATCTCCTCACCATAGCTTCAATGCGGCTTTCAGGAAGTTGACCTTCTGCTACATTGTCAACCCTCGTGTGCATGACCTCGACAGAAAAGCTTGGAAACCAGCTTGCTATTTGGGAACCTAAAGATGCAAAAAGAATAGGGGATGAAGTTTAGCCAGGAATAATTCAGACAATAACAGAACCAGCCAATTTGAAATTACTAGCTAAATTGTTTGGAACCATCACAAACAAGAGGTACAGGGAAAACAACCTTCTGAAGGAACATACATTGTCAGGTACCAGATCTCTCCTTTACTAATATCCTTTTCACTGCTTATCTTTACTTTTTTCTCTTTGCAATGACGTTAACTTTGCTTTTTTCCATTATTTATTATGATGTCAGGCAAGTACTTATTCAGTCTTGTTGACTTCTTCTTTGCCAGTCTAAAAGAACAGCCTCTTTAGAAACTCCTACAAATTTGGGTTGAAGGCTTCAATTTTATGTTGAAGTCCGCAATCACTTCTTAGCAGAAATTTTGTTGCGTGAACAAACTCGAATTGTCTACCTTCTCTAATTGCAACCATGTACAAACTAACCATCAAAGTGGAAAAAGTGGTTTCTTCGTAGGCCACGTCCCATCATAAATGCTGCCATTCCTCTTGGTTGCCTTTCCTNAACAAGCCATCTCCTCACCATAGCTTCAATGCGGCTTTCAGGAAGTTGACCTTCTGCTACATTGTCAACCCTCGTGTGCATGACCTCGACAGAAAAGCTTGGAAACCAGCTTGCTATTTGAGAACCTAAAGACGCAAAAAGAATAGGGGATGAAGTTTAGCCAGGAATAATTCAGACAATAACAGAACCAGCCAATTTGGAATTACTAGCTAAATTGTTTGGAACCATCACAAAGAAGAGGTACAGGGAAAACAACCTTCTGAAGGAACATACATTGTCAGGTACCAGATCTCTCCATTACTAATATCCTTTTCACTGCTTATCTTTACTTTTTTCTCTTTGCAATGACGTTAACTTTGCTTTTTGCCATCATTTATTATGATGTCAGGCAAGTACTCATTCAGTCTTGTTGACTTCTTCTTGGCCAGTCTAAAAGAACAGCCTCTATACAAACTCCTACAAATTCGGGCAGAAGGCTTTGATTTTATGTTGAAGTCCGCAATCACTTCTTAGCAGAGATTTTGTTGCATGAACAAACTCGAATTGTCTACCTTCTCTAATTGCAACCATGTACAAACTTACCATCAAAATGGAAAAAGTGGTTTCTTCGTAGGCCACGTCCCATCATAAATGCTGCCATTCCTCTTGGTTGCCTTTCCTCCTCCTGCTCAGGCTGCAGATCACTGGCCAGGGACTGACGGCAAGTGGGACAAGAGGTGTCATTCTCTAACCATGACCTCAGGCAAGAGCTAAACAACAGAGAGTCTAGTTGAGTGTTAAGGATACCATGGCAAGGTTTCATTGATTCAAAGAACCTCCCATGCGGTATGTCAGAAAAAATAGTGTACTAAGTACGTGTATGTGGTGTATCATATTAGGATTTCACCTGGAAAAAGATTGATGAAGATACATGTATAACCAAGGGGTCAGATAAACATATACTAAGATGGTCGCCACCACCTTCATAACAACTTGAAGGTAAGTGAATTCATGGAAGATGTTGGCAATCAGAGTAAAAAACAGCTCTAGAAACTGCTCGAAGATTACATTTACAATCACAGCTCAAAGGATCATGCAATAACATCGATAAGTAATCTTGAAAATTGACTTCATCCTAAAGGTAAAGACATAGGAGTCTTTGTCATACTTGTGAAAGAGATGGCCACATGTTAACTTCCTTGCTGAGCTCATAGAATCCCAGCAGATAGCGCAGTCATCGTTATTCTTGATCAGCTCTTCTTCAGTTGCCAAGGGAAACCTAACAAATGAACAAAACCATTGAGTACATATGTGCAGTTGGGTCACTTCTGTGATAGCATATTCATGATTCAGTGCAATGCACATAAGGCATAAACATTGCACTAATGGCAATGCCAGGAATAGACAGTGACAAACATGTGGCTAAAACATTGTTCTGAATTCATGCAAGTTATGATCTGTCTTCTTATATTCTTAATCACTGGTCAGGGGTGAGGATGGGTGCAGGAGGGGGGGGAGGGGGGGGTAAAAGGGAAGGTCTGAACTTCCTGTGTCTTTTACTCTCAACTCCCATCCCTTCCTCAGTGATGCATGCCATTTTTCTCCTTTTCTGTAGCACAATATTACGAAATGAAATTTTTTTCCCACATTGCATTTCTCC